CACACACTGACACACCTGACTGGACTGGAGACACTGCTGTCCCTCTTCTCTCACACTCCCCCTGATTTCACACACCAACACACTCCTAACTGGACTGGAGACACTGTTGTTCCACCTCTTAGAATCTTTAGATGGTAAAAGTCCATTGCCATCCTCAAGTTATTCATCAGCAATAATGTTAACAGAGGTATGCACCTTTAACTTATAAAACAACTTTAGACTTATTCGTCTTGCTACATGTTAGAACATCCTAGTCTTTTCTGAATAAATAAAAAGGACATATGGAAAAGGAACAGAATAAATGTGGCATCCTGCTACTAAGAGTGATTGTGTTAAAAGTTTTGAGTTAATATATGTTAATATTGAACTGCAATATTTCTCCATTCCTGAAATGAAATGGGATAGAGTTTCCATAAAACAGGGAGAACAGTATGAAGTCCTCCTCCTCATTGTAAACTGACAATTAACAGAGGTGTTCAGTTCTTAACTTGAGCCTTTTATCTTATCTGTTGTACCATAAAACCAACTCTTGTCTTTTAACAGCTGGAAATTAACAAAGAATAACAATACCCTCCACTACATGCTACCCAAAGTCATAATGCAATAGCAGTTTGCAATTTAAACACATGATGGCTCATCACCATTGCCTGGTACTTGTGCTGTTTTAGAACTCTGATATGAGTTACGGACACTAAACCTAACTGACTGTTGTGTGGATTTGGACGTCCTGTGCACACCTGATCCTAACCCTTCAAGTCATGGGCTTCTGAGAATTGTCTAACACCATATTGCTACAGCTTTTTTATTGACACGCATTGTATTTGCAACTTGAATTACACACTATTCAATCCTCCAGCACGGAACTGGGACAGTTGCAGAACACAATCACCCCTCTCTGAATCCAGCAGATTCTGGAGAATCTGAAGACTTTCAGCGGGGCAGAGTTGCCCAGTACCTAGGGAGTGGCGCAGAGTGTGCCCCCAGACTGAATCCTAGCAGGAGCAGGGAGAGCTGCACTGGTCACTGCAGCACAGTTACTATACACACAACCCAGCCACTTGCTGCAAGCACGCCCCAGCTCCCAGCTGTGCGAAAGAGCCTGAAGAGGGTCTCAAGAACAGCGCAGCTCATTAACGCTTCAGCTGACTAATGCTTTGTGTTTCACAGAGCGAAACGTCTTGGGGAACAGAACACAAAGTACAGGGAGGGTCAGTGCTGGCGTAACAGGTCCACTGATGCCAGGAAAAGTCGAGAATGGAGCCTCTATTGCTCAACTGACCAAGCGAAGTAGGACAGTCGCCCCAATCGCCTCGGGACCCCAATCGCCTTCGTTTGGGTCCTCCCACACCTTCCTGATCCGAGAGCTGTCGCCTCTCGCCCACGAGAGCCACGAGAGACACTTGCGATAGACAGAGGAGCTGTACAATCCACAGCAAGAGGCACTGCTCACAGCTGGAATTTGAATCACAGACACTCAGCTGGTCTCAGCATCACAGCTTCGTGCTCCATTGAAAAATTCACTTCACTGACTGTTACACCCCAAATAAAGTCTAGCAAACCTTCCGAACCCGATACGTAATAATAAACGAAAAGATGCCCATTTCTTTCCATGCCTGAACTTGCTTCTGACAGACCAGATGTGTTTCATATTTATACACATAAATAAAGTCAAACTCAATGTTTTCGTGTCTGGTCTGAGGGACAGCAAGGAGATTAGTGTGTCCTGTTGACCTGGAGGCCTTGAAAATGAAAATGTCATTTCAATTTTGAGAAATGACCACAAGCATCAATCACCTCAGAGAAGAAAGTTCACCGCTAATAGCGAAACCTAGCCACAAAATGGTTAGTATTGAAGAAATTATAAACACGTTATTAAAGAAGTAATAAACAGGTCACTGAGTATAAAACTGTCCTACAATCTGAGCTTTTCTATCTGTGAATAACTCAACTCAAACGACACTGACTGCCTGGACAAACGGGGATATTTACGAGGACTGAGACACATGACAAGCAACAACTGACAAGCGTCTCATGTGTTTGGCAATATTTGTCTGGGCGAATAGCCAATACCACCGAGAAGCGACAATGCGGCCGCCGAGCCTGTCTTCCGCGGGCATGCCAGTTACACAGAAGTTTAGGGGTTTGGTAGAAACTTGGGGTTGTTCCACTTCGCTCCACTAAACCCCCGAACCACGCGGAGAGCGCGCGACAGGTGCCTCTCGTGAGAGACGAGGCTCGCGCTCTTCGTGGCGCAGCACGGCGCTCGCGGCAAATTTAGCCATTTTTCGGTTAATTTTTAAGCTCGTGCCAGACGGCCTGATGCTTTGGAAAAAAAGCGAGAGAGCTACTCAGTCAGTGCACTCACCTTCCTTCTCTGTCATCTCGGGAACAAGTTAATAATCCACTCAACTGAACTTAGTATCCAACGATCCCCACTCGCAAATAAAAGGGATTTACTGTAAATCTCGTCCACCGGAGGCTTACGTCTTGTCCGTACCGTTCTGCGGTTTCTATATCTGACCTGCAAAGTGCGAAACACAAACAGAAAAGGTGAAAGAAATGTTAAAGGAGTTAAACACGGAAGGTCATTAAACAGAAGTTCGTTTGAATTTGTTAGCAAGCGAGGGTCATAGTGTCGCACCCCGAAACTGCACACTTGGCTTACAAAGAGAGAGAGAAGAGTTCACTGGTGTTTTGAAAGAGTTCGGTTTATACTTTCATAATGTAATATTCACTGCAACCTTACAAAACACAATAAGCCTAGTTTGTCACAGGTTTAATTATTTACCCCTAGCCCCTATTTACCCCCTTCGTCTCGGAAAACGCAACACCAGAAAAAAAAATTACATCGCCAGAATCAACAAGCTTCCAAAAATCTGGTCCTATCAGCTTAAAAAGATGAGGTGAAATTCGAGGTTTCGCCTTAAGATGATGAGTGTAAAACTTACCTTTTGTGTTTTCTAATACCGCTACAGGTGTATTCTTTTCAGGCTAGATAAAAAATCCCTTTCATAATAATAAATCCACTTAGAAGAGCGCAGTTATACTGTAAAGCAGCTACAATCAGTATCGATAGAGTAGGCGGACGTGAAGCCACATCAACGTCGAAACCGTCTTCAGTTGCGAAGTTCCAGTAATCCCGTCTCAACTGCGTGCAGAAAGTACCAGCAACGGGCTGAGGTAAACATCGGAGAGAGAGATGGTAAGGGTCTTTTTCTTGTCTGAACTCAGTAAAAAAATAAGAATGGTAACTAAAATTAAGGCCGCTCCTTTGAAAAGCGATGGATTCAGAGGAAAAGTAAAATCCAAGAAACAGACAAAAGCAAAACACGATGCGAACTGTATCCTGCCGTGCCTGTAGATCACCTTAATTCCCAACTGCTCGCAGGGAGTCGGGGGTGTGTATGACGTCAGCGAACCCCTCCGGCGGAGCAGCAGGGAGGACCGGACACCAGGCCCAGCCCCTCCTCCGAGTCCTGCTCAACACCTGCGCCGCCAACTCGGACGTTTTCTCCCACGTCTGGACTCAACTGTCCGGGGAACAGTGAGGATGCGAAAAATTCCGACCCTTTAGTTTTTTGTTCACTCCTGACTGCAAATTGGAAGCTTTCTGTTCCGTTTGGAACATATCAGGAGGATTTTAACTTTTTTCCCCATAACTGAAGAAATTATCCTGTAAACCTCAATCTGCCCGAAATCTGATATATTTGCTTTATGATCTGAAGGCATTACAGCCACATTTTTTTCAGTATTTTGACTTTTCTCTTAAAATCGCTGTTACATTTTGTTATTCTGAAAGTCAGAAAAGACGGGTGGGCGGACATGACGCCATGACAGTGTACTAGTGTACTACTAGGGCCAGCTGTAGGAGCCTGTCCTGTCTCCGTGAACCCCAGGGGTCTGCTGTTTATAAGACCGGGGTTCCCAGTCCTAGTCCTGGGGAGGCACACTGCTGCTGGCTTAATTACACATTGCCTCTGGGCTTAATTATTTAAATGAAGCTGGAATTGTAACTAAAACGTTGGGATTTTATTATCCTAATGAAATGCCACAGTTGAACAGTGACCCCCAACACACTGAAGAGCTGAAAACTATCAGTTCAGATGAATCCAAGTAGTAAGTCAATCAAGGGTTAGAATGAGTAAGTGGGAGCTTGCCTGGGACTGAAGCTGTGGGGGTCTCCCAGTTTATGATTGAGAACCCCAAGAAAGTTGCACCTCTCTGTTCACTCGACATGCTGCCCATTCACTAGAGGCTTCTGCCTTTTTTTTCGTGAAGTGAACCTCCATACGTATGGAGGTCATGATTGATTAAGGGCTCTCCAGCCCTGGACATGAAGAAGTTCAGGATCGAATTTTCACTGTAGTTCTATCATATTGTAACATTGCTGCTTTGCAGTGCTGGGGCCCTGGGGTACTGCCTGTGTGGAGTTTCATGTTCTCTGTGCATTGATATGTGTTTCCTCTGAATGTTCTTTTCTTCTCCTACAGTCTAAAGACATGCTTACGGGTTTGAGTGTGTGTGTCTGTGTGTCCTGTGATTGACTGGCGTCCTGTCCAGACTCCACCCTGCTTTGTGCCTGTTGCTTGTCAGGGCTGGCTTCAGCTCCCCTGCAACCCTGTCCTGGAAAAAGCAGTTAGAAATAGGTGGGTTTTTAACTAACTATTCAAGAATGAGCATGCTCTTTACATACTGGCTGAAAACCAGAAATATTGGAGAATTATTCAGGGCCTGGATTGGATTTTCTTCTTTGTAGTAGTAGCAGTGTTTTTTTACTAAAAATGTCTTTAATTGCAGTGGTTTCACCCTCTAGTGGTCAGGAGTGCACAGTGCAATAGAGCGACAGGCAAGCGATGTCACAGGAGGAGAATTGTTGTGCTCGGCTGAGGCCAGGATGGTCAGAATGACAAGGCTCCAGTTCACTTTAACAGTCGTTGGCTCTCTGAGAGGATCAGAGCCCCCAGCTAAACCAACAAGTCCCCAGCCCTGCAGCTCCTGGTGAGAGCCCAGGGTCCCCAAGACCTGCTGGTGTTCATTCCATCCCAACTCTGTCAATTACCAAACTCTCAACGGACTTAACTATAGGGTTAATTTGAACTCCTTGTTTTCAGTTCCTAAACACCTTGGAGGATGCCTTTTAACTAGTGGTGTATAAGTAACTTGAGATGTCCAACTTTTGAGTAGAACAACAAAGAAAAAAAACATGCAAAGGTTCCAATCAAACAACTAGATAGTACAAATAAGTCAAGAGCTTGGCTGGAACATAAACTAACAGTGGAGTGTGGGATTGGGTACCCCTGTCCATTGAACACTAAGTCCTAAATCACAGAAACCAGCCCATAGATTCCTGAATTTTGCTCCAACTAGTTCCTTAAATATTTAACTGTTAATCAGCAAATCAATACAGTAATTAAGGAGCTGGAGGTACAAAATTGCTGGAATGGGTGCTTTGGAAGGCCTAGGGGTTGAGTAGTCTTGGTTTTATTAAAACTCTGTAACTATACTGTAAGTATTCAGTATTCCTGTGTAATTAAAACTCCTGGTTTTAACTATATAGGGCTACAGTGTTCAGAGCTTGTGTCAGTGACATTGAAATTTACAATTGGTTTACATGTATCAGGGTGCAGTCCTTCTAAAGCCCACATGATGTGTTAACTCTGATTGGTGCTGTATCTCCTGTCAGGTGCATGAAGAACAAGTGGGCATATCGGAAGAGAGAACCTCATTCTCCTGTGTGGTACAGAACTAATCACTGGGAAGCATGTGGCAGTAGGAAGTGATGGCAGTTCCTGATGGGGAGGTAGTTAACAGAAAACAACTGGCATTTACAAACAAAATAAAAAAGAAATAGGCAAAGATCCCTTTTGAAGACTTGATTTTGAATGAATCTTCAGTGGGTGGAATAAAATGAAGTTTTAGACTTGTCAGTGCCACCAGTTAAGCAGACAGATTGTTAAACTAAGAAATCTAGAGATCATTTGAGACTGAAATTTACCCTTTGGTCCTCAAAAAAAAGGGGTTCTATTAACCAAATAAATCATGTGCTTAATTTATCAATAATGCAAAGGGCAGAAATCTTTACAGACAGGTGACACGTCAGGCTAATTGGTCTATATAATTATTATTATTAAGAAGAATATAAACTCTTCTGATTCTCAAGGACATTCTGATAATTAATGAAGATGATAATGACCACCAGTGTCAAACTCATGAACCTGGTATCCAATGAAGATGCTGCTGAGCACTCTGGGAGCACAAGGTGTTAAGAATAGACAGATTTAGAAGTAGAAAGCAAATCTGTTTTACTGATCAAGTGTTCAGACATATGGACAGAAGACATGATGCAGGACAGTACAGCATATAGTTACAATTACTATAGAAGACAATTAGGATTAGGTAAGCAAACAGGGTTAAAAACTCGCTCTCTCATAAGCATGTTCTCTCCTGGGGACCTTCATTTCGGCAGTTTCTTAATGGACTTGTACTTGAGGAAGGCAGATGCAGCTTTTAGGCCCTCCTTCACCACAGGCAAGATGTAGTCGGTCCAGACGTTGCCCTTCGATAACTCCGCCTTGAGGTTCTGGATCTCCTTCTCCATCAGATCTGCCTTGTCCTGGAAGCCCTTCTGCAGCAGCTCCTCGTGCTCCTTCAGCTTGCTCTGAAGGGCTCTCTGGGCCTCCTGGCGGCTGCTGTCCAGCTCCTGCTGCGCCTTCTCCTCTGCGACCCTCAGCTTCTGCTTGTGGCTCTCCCTCTCGTCCTCCAGGAGTCTCTCTGCCACCAGGCACTTCTCCTCCTCCGCCTTCCTCTGCTGCTCCAGGAGGGCGGCCCGCTGCTTTTCCGCTGTGCGCATGGGAAAGGGGCAGAAGGGGGGATCGTGACTCAACATTGTCAGGAGCACACTTTTCTTTTCTGGGCAATTCTTTTTTAGAAACAACAAGGACGTTCTTACACAGAAGATCTCCTTCACTGAAAAGCAGCTTTCCCCCAGACACAAAAGACACAGGAATTCCTGTGGCCCACCTTGGAAATGGCCCAATTGCACTACAGATTTGTACAGTCTGGCTTCCCCGAAGTTCCCACTTTAATTCCACTGATCAAGCAAGTTCTCCACCTCATCCACTGTGCAGTGGGGCTGCTGGTGCCAAAAAGCTGGCATGAGGTTATCAATACTCACCGGCAATTTGTTTCTCATTTTCAGCCAGCTTCTGATCAGCCTGAAGGATGGATCTGGATTCGACTTCTTTCATCTTCAGAAACTGGTCCAGAATCTCTTCAGCCTACAGACCAGACAACCCACTGAATATACTTGAAATGACAGGAGCCAATGTTTTTAGCAACACCAAATCCATGGAATTATCCATCCCTGTTCTGCCGCATCTCAGCCGGGATAGGACAGGGCAGGGATGAGTGATGAGAGTGAGGGTTCTGTCTTGCCTTTCTGTCAATCATCATGCATTTGCTGTGTATTTCCAGGCAAAAGCACACTACACCACCCATTTCCTACTCTGACTGCCTCTTTCCTACTCTTGAAATACTGTACATACTGTATGTTACTAAATATTGAATTTCTTGGCAAATGCCCATAAGACAACAACATAATCATACTCCCAGATGCACTCTTGAGAAAATCTGAATACTGTGTTTTTCAAGCACATCTTAAATACCTAAACTAATAGACTAATCAAAATGGATTGCAGTTAACTATAAAACATTTTAACACACACTGCTGCAGTTGAGGTCTGGCTGCAATGCCCTGTTAATGAAAGAATGTGGCTCTACAGTAGCTGCAGTTCCTACCTTAACCCCTTTGTTGGGTTCAGCACGGAACTGTGCCACCAATGCATCTCGATCCTTACAGTAGAGCTCGTAGCCACCAGGCTTGGCATAGAAGCCCTCCTCCAGCTTCTTGGCGATGGGGGCGGAAAGCTGGGCCAGGAGCTCCTGGCAGGCTTGCTCAGAGACTTGTTCGTTGTGATCCAGAAGAATGGCATAGTGTTGTCCAATCTTGCTCTGTGAGTGAGAGAGCATGAAATTCAAAGGAAACAGATGGGCGATGGGGTAGATATTGTCTGAGTTATAGTTATGTTTTGGTTATATTCTGGACTTATATTTCATGTATAAATGCTTCCTGAGAAGGCATTTTTTGTTTTTTTTAAGTATGTCTTGATTGGTTTCATAGTCAAATTGTGAAAACAATTTCCTAAGGACAGAAAACCCATGGATTTGTAAGAACTTACTCCCAGGTTGCTCATGTGCTGACCACTGTCATCTTTGAAAGACTTGCTGGCGAACCTCTCCAGAGCCAGTTTTTCCCAGTGCCTGTGCTGCTGGGATAAACCCTCCAGGCTGGCTGGGAAGGTCACTGCCTTGTCCATCCCCTCCTTGTACACCTTTATCCCCTCCTGCACAGCTGCCTGGTTCTCAATCTGTGCCATTGTCAGCACTGCGTTCTCCAAGCAGGGCACATCACCGCTCGAGATGGTGCCCACGTAGGTACTGGCCAAGATACCAAGCACTGAGAAAAGAAAACCAGAAAACAAGTGTGGTGGAGAGAGGTGTTGCCCACAGAAAAGCCCTAAGACCTGATGCAGTTTGTATTCAGAGTTTATAAAAGATACACATTCTTCTAACCAAACTGCTCTGAAGTGCTGATTTTCAACACAGCCTGCATGTAATCCAGACCATCCCAGTTTATTATGTGCTGTATATCACTGCAGGGAAGTGGACATTTGCACAGAATGGAGTCCATAAGCAACCTATTTCAAATCCAAACCCACTGATCATATTAAGGGTCACTGGAGAGACTCCTGCCGACAATGATAAAAGTGTCTCGGAAAAGTGGGGGTAGGATATGGAATACAAGGGTACTGTAAGGCAGACAAACAGGGACTGTCTCACTCACTCCTGCCACTGACAGGATGTCCTCCCTTGATGGTTTTGACGGGACTCTGGTTGAAGACGTGCTGGCAGAAGCGCTGGGTGGCCTCCAGGAAGGAGGCGCTCAGGTCCCTCTCGTCCAGAGTCTCGAGGCGGGTCATGGCATCGGGGGCGGCGGGGCTGCCGAAGACGAAGCAGCGGCGCAAGGGGAAGAAGTTCCGGATACACTGCCGGGGCAGGTTGTAGTCGGACACTTTCCTGTTGGTTCCTGAAGAAGATAGCGCAATCCTTCAATATTAACTTAGAAGAAGCATGCAATCAGGATTAATACACAAGAACATCCTTTTTATTGTATAGTTTGGTCATGGAGTATTTTGAATGGAGCAGAAAACACTGACACATCCTTTATTTGCTGAAATGGTTGTAAGGCAGCAGAAATCTTTTACCTTTCTTGAGTGTCAGAGCGTGTTCAAGATACTCGTCCTCAGTCACCGGCCTCCCCTCGATCTTCAGCTCCAAGGTGAAGTCGCGCACAGCCCACACAAAATTGGGGAAGTAGCGCACAAACTGAGAGTCTTCTTCATCAATGTCATCATCACTCGTACCTGGACTGGATTTGCCAGGGGCCTTCACCTTGATCAGGTCAGTCAACTCTGTCACGTATCTGCTCAAGAGCTCAGGAATAATGTACATAGTTGCAATTTCCCCTCTTACAGCTTTGAAACCTGCAGAATTGCAGTCTGTCAAGAAGCAGTAGCTAGTTCCGATGTGTTATGATTTCATTTATTACTAATGAAGTAGGACTTATATGTGTACTGCAGATATCCAGCATTACAACATTTATAATGAACCATATTGTAGAAGTCATCATAGTGATTGCAGAAATCTGTTAACTTAGGCTGTCTCAAAATATCTGTTAGATATTTGTTAGAGCAAGCAAAAGTAACTCTACCAACAGCTGCAACAACACATGTAACAATACAAGTGTTAAAAGAGGAAACAATGTATTTGCAAATACACCAATTCCACATATTTCTGTATCTTTAATTGTCTATGGTGACTCCTTACCATAGAACACTAGAAATGAACTAGTTTTTGCAATCTTGCCTCCTTCAAGCTGATGCTGAGCTACTCTAAGTCACAAAGCTAAATGGATAAAACCCACCTGAAACACAAGGATACTGCAGGTTCTCCAGGGCGTTGTTGTCGATGGTCCCGCGGCTGTTGTAAATCAGTGTGCTGCTCAGAAGAATAGCCAGGGCAAAGATCCAGCAGTCGTTCTTTTGATCTCCCTGGAAAACACGTTTCCAGTCTCTTGATAATGCACTTTTCATTTCTTCTCTACTGCAGCAGGTTTTAAACACACCTTTTCTGTCATAACAACTGACAGCTCTTCACACTAAGACAGCCTGCAGGCTTTACAGGAAAACTACTGTAATTGTGATTGGAGCTCTGGTTCACATAAAGGGTTTGAATACCTAGTGGGCTACTGCTCTTGTACCCTTGAACATGGCACCTCACACAGAGTGTTTTGGAAACTGGAGTTATTGTGGTGGGAAACACCAGACTAAATTAATTTATTGCATTCAGTGTCAAAGCCTTTTTTCAGTCATGATAATACTGTATATATTACAAATATAGATTTGTTTTTGCTGGGATGCTTTCTTAGCAATAATAACATTATTCCTTATTATTATAGAAACAATAGTTAAGAACTAAAATATAAATTTAATTTTGTAACAAACAATTGAGAAACGGGTAATTAACTCAGCCTTAACACCACAGTTCTCTTATCAGCTGGGAAGACAACAGGGCTGTGTCACGCTCATTACACCTAGAGGGCGCTCTACGTTCCTTCTGTTCCTAGTTTCCTGTGATTATTCATGTCTTTCTGGTGTGTCTTGTTGTGTAGCCTATTTATTTCCTGCTTCTGCTCTGCTACTCGCTCAGCATTGTTGTTCAGTTGCCCTGAGACCTGCCTAGCACCAGGTCACTCCTGTCCTTGGCCTGAGGGCATAGGTTTCTATACGGCTTCCCCTGAACAGCTGAGCCTGGGCTAACCCCGTCTCGCCACTATACATAGGGTCTTTATCGCTCTCCTGCCATTCCACGGTTCGTCCTGTCGGACTTACATGACAGGCTGGGGACACAAATATGCACAGTTGATTCACCTGTTACTTGTCTCTCTGTGAGTGTCAGTATGTTTATAGGACAACTGGCATCCACTGGAGGAGAGACGCAGCTCTCACTGACAGCACTGCAGGATCACAGCAAAGTCAAACAGGAACAGGAACTTGTGTTTTTTCTTTCTTTGTTCTGACTCAAACCTACCTACATTCTGCAAGCTTTGAGCTGCATCTTTGGTATTACAAATGAACTGTCAGTCTTCATCTGTGGTATGAATTAGGAAGCTAAACAGTAACTGATGAGCCATAAATAGAGACAAAACGCACAGCATGAGATTAACTGTAAGAAGTATTAAAAATTAGAATCAGGGACATTGCAAAGGGAAATTATCTTTAATCAGATTTAAAACCCTCTTGTTACTCACCTTCTCCACATCCCCCAACCCCTCGGTGTCCAGCAGCACCAGTGTGTGGTCAGGCTTAGTGGGGTGAGGGATGCACCACATCCAGATGCCCTTGGTGTGGGACTGTATGGTGGACCCCAGGGCGAATCCTGAGGACAACAAAGGAGAAGCATTACACAAATGTGACTCTCTGCCTTGGAAAGAGTGGTGAGAGGTAGGCACAGCTTGTTAAGGATTTGGCCAGTGAAACCGAAACCAAGTAATGAACCCACTTGAAGGAACTGATAGAGCCAAGTCGTGATCCAAATACCGTAGATGAAGGAGAGAGCCGAGAGTCCAGGGAAGCCAGTGATCCAAACGGGGAGAGAGTAACCGAAGCCAAGCCGTGATCCCAAAAAACGTAGTAAAAGGGAAGAAACCAAAGTCGAAACCAACACATTACGAAGAGGTAGAAGGCTTATCGCAACAAAGAAGCTCGAACGGAAAACCAATACTGAGCAAGGAGGTAGGGAAAGACTAGTGCTTAAATACAAGATGAGACGGAGGTGTTGTGGTGAAAGCGTACACTGATAGGTGGACTAATGAACTAAGGCTACGCCTTCTTCTGCCTCTTCCATTGCCGGGAGGCAGGGATCGTAACACAGCTGGCAAAGGATATGCCTTCTGTCTGCTGTGTTCCAAAGGTCATTACTCTTGTATGAGTGAATGCCTTCTTTTTGAGCTGCTGCTGGCATGAAGCCCAGGGGCACAAACCCTGAAAAGCCCATGATTGGGCAGACAAACTGGACTGACTGGCCTATTTCTAAGTGGAGCTTCCAATCACTTCTTCTAACATATTGTTCTTTCAGAAGACATAATGCCTTCTTCATCATTAACTACTGGAGCTTCTGGGAAAGTGCTCCTGATGAGAGAGTGAGAAAGTGAGGGAGTGAGAGGGAGAGAGGGTGAGAGGGCGAGAGGGCGAGAGGGTGAGAGAATGAGAAAGTGGGAGTGTCTGAGTGTCACGGACGTCCAAAGGGACTAACCGTGGGGAGCAGGAGAGCGGAAAAAGACCCATATGCATAGCGGCGAGATGGGAAAAAGGCCCGGGCTCATTAGTGCAAAGAGTTCAGGGATGCCGTATAGAAACCAATGCCCTCAGGGAGCGGACGTGGGGCGCCCTGGTGCTAGGCGGGTCTCAGGACATCCGAACGTCAATGCTGAGCGAGGACAGAGTGCAAGACCCGGAAATATATAGCCCAAGGGAAAGAGAGGGACAGGAAGGACAGCAGACCGGAAACTAGGGACAGGACAGAGAAGGAGCGCCCTCTGGCTGCAGAGGGCGTGACACTGAGTGTATGAGCCTGGTGATGGACTCAGGTCCTGTGCAGGGTGTACCCTGCCCTGTGCCTGTTGCTTGCTGGGACAGGCTTCCATGCGACACTGCGATCCAGTATTGGACAAAGCAGTTAGAAAATGGCTGGAAGGATGGATGCTGGTGACTGGATGGATGTTGAAGCTCTGGACTGCATGTGGATTTATGTATTTACTTGACAAACTTTGCATTTTTTATTTTACTTTTGAAGATGTGAAGAGTTAAAAAAAGCTATGCATCAGAATTTGGAAGGAAAAATTAAACTACAGATAGTGAGGAAATTCTGTCTGTAGCCTGAGATGCTGTATTGCACAGTTTCTCTCAGAAATGTGTGGGGAAAACGCCCAAGCTGTTATTCTGGATTCTCACCCTTTCTCTTCCCTGCCAGCTTGTTCATGAAATATGATTTCCCTGTGCGATACAATCCCACTATTGACACCACAACCACTGACTGCTGGATCTGTTCCAGGATCTCCAGGGCCTGGGAGTTGACACTGAGTTTTCCATCTTCTCCATTCTCGATCAAACATATCGGGGCTGCCATTGAGATGTTGTTGCTGGCCATAACCAAACACAGATATCTGCCTTTTCCTAGAACAATGAAGAAGAATGAAATTACAGATACATTAGCTGCGTTTTTACAACACAGTGCATCAGTGCAGCGACGTATAGAACACAACTAAGTGGAAAGGAACTGCAACAAACACCCAGGTGAAGCACACAGCACACTATTCTGAGAGATGTGAGTCCAACATGTGCTTCTTTGGAAAAACACAATACATTCATTTTTGAAACGAAGAATTATTCTATATTGTCAAATCTTAAACACTGAACAAAGTATCTGTTTCTGGTTGACATGCACCAATTAAGTAAGTGCTTGTCTTTGGTGACTCTTCATTTTTCTAAATTTTTGGGAATATACTTTTCTAACCTCTTGAATCATACTTTCTAGTCGTCCTTAAACTGAAATCTTTCGTTATACTTTTGTGTTTTACGCCATTTAACAGTGATATATAATGTTATACATACATATAAAGGAAAGCGGTGCATATTTATGTGACCTGTCAAAAAAGGAAAGTGGTGTATGTTTTGATGTCTGTGTACGTTTCCTGTCTTTGTGATACAACGCAACATACGTTGCAATTATTTTAAAATAAAACCTGAGGTAGTTGCAACATTAAGTTAATTTGTATCGTTTTTTAATGTGGGGAGCCCAGTCGGTATCGAGAATGTAGTCTTCGAAGAGTCCGAAATGGCGCTCATTCAAAAAACGCTCTCAGTGTAACGGTCTTGGTTTCCGAGAAAAGTGAAGCAGCTCGTTTTCACGAATTTATTCGCGTTCGTTCTTGACGAGTAATAAAGCGATGTAGTGTAACGTTGCCACAGAAAAACGAACATGAAATCGTGCTTGATGTAAGGTATTCATATTACCTTTACACTTTCGTTTGTAGTACTTTAGAATTATTTTACAGTTTATAAACTCAGATTTAAGGAAACAAGCATTAGTAAGCGTACACAAATATCAATTCATATAAGCAAATTCAAGTACCTGATACAAAGGATGATGCCGGGATTCCGTCAGTAGGATCGCGAATACTCTCTGAGTTGCTTTATAACTTAAAAAGTATTTCTTCAAGCGCGTCTTCGTTAGAAAAGAAACTGCAGTCTTCTATCACAGCTGTAGAGGTTTCAAACCGAAAGCAAAAACATCGAGCACACCAGGGCGTGACAATGTTCTCAATGTAAAACTACAAGGCATGCTTAGGTGTCAATACTTAACCCATACCAGCATACTGTATTTTAAAAGCATAACTGGATATTTAAAGCAACGCAATTGGGTATTTAAAATAACTTACTGCTTATCCTAAAATAACAGGTGTACTGTACATGAGGGTGTACTGTATGTACTCAGTGTCCCCTCATAGCGCCTATGGCTCTTAAATTCTGAACGACACCCACCCTAGACAATGATCTGAAACATTCTTTTCACGCATGACATCCCGACACGAGGTCGAGTCCATCTTTCATGCCCTCAGTGCGAGAGTCTGTGACAGCAGGGAGCTCTCAGAACTTGCCACTCTGTGATTGCTTAAAGATCACAAGTGCCGAAGCGTCTAACTTCAAGAACAGTTCGTGATTTTCAGTAATTTGGCTGGATGGGGTATTTGCTGTAAGAAATAATGTTAGTTTCATTACCAATTGCCAGAACAAGACATACATTATCCCCACGACCTCTTTTATTGGCTAATTTAATCCATGCCTGTGAAACAACAGTTTGAGGCAGTTGTTTCACTTTAAAAGTGAAAGAACTTCTATGGATCTACAACAAAATACTAGAACAGTTGTGAGACCTTCTTTTTCTAGAACAGGTACAGTATGTGATAAGAAAACACTACGTTAGAAAAGTGTGTTTTTATTTATTGTTCGTAAAGCAAAATAATTGCACGACTTGAAATAAAGTAAAGTTTTCCAAATTTTTAAGAGACATAAAAATAGTAAATATTGATATTTCACTAATGTATAGATGTAAGAGAGGATACAGAAAGACTACCTCTTTTATCCACCGCGTTGTAAAAAATACATTTTACATTTTTACAACCTTCTGAATGTGGTTTATACCCACGGAATGGTGTTTTTGATTACATAATGTTTAAAGGTTATTTACAAAAAAGATAAACACTAAAAATACATTTTAGCAAAACTATATTACTTCTGCAGTTGTTCTAAAATACAGTACATTCCAACTCGTTTAATGCAACCTTTTGATGGGAGGTTTTGCTCTTAGAAATCAATAGTGATAAACAGGCTAGCTGTGACGGAAGATGAACAAACACTATAAAACTGTTACTCAAAGCGAAAAACCGGCGAGCGATTCTGATGATTTCCAAATATAGTCAAAAGTGAAGCTGTCTTGAAAGCAACACTTTGTGTTAGGAAAACGATGCATTTGAACAGCAAAAGTCCTTGTCAGGAAACTTATGAAGAGGTTATGAAGTCAGGAGAGTCGCGATTGTATACTGTAACTGGTCTCCTTCCCTAGACCACACTGAATACAACTGGGCGAGGGTATCGGACCCGAACAGGGCGCGTTTCTCGGAAGACAGCTGCGCTTTTCTGCTTTCACTTTCAGCTGCTTTAGGTGCCTGGAGAGGGCAGAAGCCGCAGACAAGAAGAGAAGCTGCTCGCCGACTCGCCTCGAGCCCTTTTCTGAGAACGTCCTGTGCATCGTTTCAAGCGAAGGTACTTCTTTTAAAATACCAATCTCCCCAACCTGGCACCTCTCGACGGGACTTATGGCACTGTTCGTTTTTTTTTTCTTACAAACTACAGCTATTGCTAATGTTACTATTCAGTAATGCACGAACAGAACACAAGTGTATTCTCAGATCGCTTTATTTTGAATTGGAGTGGTAACACTTAAAGGCGCTAAATTATTTTTTCCTCAGTATCTCTCTCTGCACAGCAACCCATCGATACGACTAGATGTCTGAAGTATGAGCTTTCTTTTTCACTTGCAACTAAGAAAAAGGCAATATTAGAATTTAAAAGATTTTCTAGCGGTGTTTTCTGCTTTCGCTTTCGAATTGTGCTACTGCCAAAACGACTTCCGACGCTGCAAAGACTGAGAAGTCACCTGCAGTTCGGCTTCTCCACTATCCTGAAGCCAGAAAGTCCTGGGCCAAATTCCAAAGTCCAAATTAAGGTGCACCTCTTTAAAATACGCTTTCCACTACTATTCACTTGAACACAGCTTGCACATATTCTTATATCGCTGCCTTTTCGGTTTTAATTGCGGCATTTGCCGACGCTAAGGTATTTGATCTTCAGTCGCATTCTTGAGACAATGCAGTACAATAATTTCTAAAGCTTTTCGCTCCGTATGATTGGCGATTAAAGAGTGGTTTAGAGGTACTGCGGATCAGATGCGATTTTTATTCGTACTATGCATTTTTGAAATAGCGGGTTTCGATATATTTCAGCTGAACCTTTTTAATAATCGAAAGTTAAAGAGCTGAAAATAACATATTATCTTGTGGTTTTTATCGGTCGAAGGAGCGTCATGTTAAATCAACATGTCTTCAGGATGTTGAACAGTGTCGTGTTCTTTCTTTTCCTGAGAGGCTAAAACTTAAATACAGGTTACTTCGCCTTTCCGAATATGAACACACAGTATGAGGCTTAGCGGGTAGGACCGCAGTTAAGTAGATGGTTGAAAACAGCCACGACCGACATTAATTTCTCACTGAGGTAACGCGTTTTTGAAGAGAATGAGAACTTCCTGTCCTGAAACCATTCTCTGTTATTAAGTTTCTTTTCACGCTCATTTTGTAATGTTATGAGACACATTAAAACAAGTTTGAAACTGGCTGGGCTTTCGCTGTCATTTAGCTCGGTCGGTTACCTTTTGATAAAAAAGCAGAATGTTCCAGCGGTAAGCGGCCAGGAACCATCAACCGAATTAAAGTTCCCCTTAAGAAACTGCTTTTCAGAGAAAGGTGACGTTAGATCGACTTATTCATCTATGTGTTTCTAATAAATAAGGAGCAGAAAGCACCCCAGAATTCTGTCGCTTAATGTAAATAATAAAATGAATTATAACTTCTGAGTAGTGCCGAGACAGATGCTGTTGTCATAACATGTTTTTATGAGTGTATTCTTAAAACAAAGCAAAACAAAACAGAAATCATGGTAACATTTCCTTTCCCCCTAATCTCATAGACAAGCAAAATGTCAAGACATTTTGTACAGTAGTTGCAGACACTATTTTGAGCCCCAGGTAAATTGAAACACGACTCTGGATGTAATATGACTTGAATGCTTGCTTATATTTGAATTTACTCAAATGCGTTGTTATTGTAGCGGAGCTGGTTGCAGCGCGGTGACGTCACTCCGCCGCCCGGGCTCCTGCACGGTCACATTATCACGTCACTCAGTTTGTTTTTGTTTCACACAGAATTTCAAAACTTATTTGCTTGGTTATAGGCCGTTTGTATGACAGCGCAAAAGAGTTATTAAAATAATGTTAATGTGTAAAACAGGAAAGTGCTAAAGCTCTTTTTGTTTTTTGCATGACTGAAACAGACTTTTCCCTGCTGCTCATGGCTAGCAACACACTGTCGATGTCTGCCCCCGTGTGCCTTGTTGAAAATGGAGAAGATGGAAAGCTTCATGTCAACAGACAGTCTCTGGAGCTTTTGGGGAAGATTGAACAGCAAGTAGTTGTGGTGTCAGTAGTGGGATTATACCGCACTGGCAAATCCTACCTCATGAACAAACTGGCAGGAACGAAAAAGGGTGAGGAGTAATGTCAAATAAACAGTTCATAGAAGAACAGAAGGTTTTCCTTTGCAGAAATGTATACAAAAATTATTGTAAGAAACCAGGATATCAGCTTTAAAATTCAATTTAACAGTTCATTTTCCTCAACACATCTCACGTAGTCCAACTCCATGTCAAGTTATGCCAAATACAGTCAAGAAGTAAAACATCAGATATATTTGAATATTCTAAGTAAAACAGACGACATTCTTTTACATTTGCTTTGGTTGATGCACTTACCCAAAGTCAGTCCTTGTATCTTGTATCATTTCACTCTAAAGATAAAACAGAAGAAAGCACGGTCATTTTCCAAGGTAGTGTATAATGATATAGGCTTTTATCAAGGTTTTTCTGGGAACCTTGTAGTTTCAAGTTCTACGCCTACATTAAGTCATTATACAGTTTAGCCTTCCATTTAACAATCAAGATATTATTTGTGAGATTTTAGACACCAGGCAAATGATTAAGGGGTACAGATAGATGACAGCTTTAGGTGCAGTTAGATGGCTGCTGGACTAAACCTGACATGCTTCCCATTTCTGTTCTACAGGATTTTCCCTGGGGTCCACCATACAGTCCCACACCAAGGGCATCTGGATGTGGTGCGTCCCTCACCCCAATAAGCCTGACCACACCCTGGTGCTGCTGGACACCGAGGGGTTGGGGGATGTGGAGAAGGTGAGCAGTGAAGTTTTCACTAAGACTTTAGATGCAATACATTCTGTTATAACATTCTGTGTCCTGTTGTGGACTTTCCATCTTGGCAGCACAATCATGGAAATGGGTGAATCCTTTAAAAACCTGTTACTCCTCCAGGCAAAACAGAGGACACAAATTCATGCCGAAAAGCCATTTTTTTTATAATTCTAAGGCCTCATATTGATTCAATTATTCATAGCTCTTGTAGTGCACAAAATATGGAATTCACTAGTTTGTGGAAATCCTATATCAGAATTAGAAGAAGTTTTGCTAAAGAAATTGCACATAGACATTTAGGAAAGCTTCACATTTTCTTGAGATTTAAACAATCTTGCCTTCCTCACATACTTCCTATTGTGCAGCCGTGATAAATCTGTGTATTACCCATTTTTCTTTGATCAGTGAAATTAACCCATGTCAAATGGGAGCAAAGGATCAAACATGCAAGGTAATACGCCATTGTATACATTTTGCTACATTTACCAGTGGTCTGGTAATATCAATTGTCTCTTTGTTTCCCTTTGTTTTGCGTTCATTGTAACTAGATGGAGTATGTAAGGGTCAATTCGACTGGTTTAGGAAAGAGTTCTATCCTGGCACTAGTGTAATTCCAAAGTGGGATGGAAAAAAATCTGAAGAATTATCGAGAATTTCCAAAAAATATAGTCTTTCTAGAGTTTATATGTTTTCCCTGTGTTCACATGGGTTTCCTCCCACTCTCCAAAGACATTCTGGTACAGTATGTAAATCTACTTCTGGGAAAATTGCCCCCGGTGTGAGTGTTTGTGTCTGTGCGCCCTGCAATGGACTGGTGTCCTGTCTAGGGTATACCCTGCCTTGCTCCCATTGCTTGCTGGGCTAGGCTCTGGTTCCCCTGTGACCTGAAATTGGATGAAGAGGTTAGAAAATGGATTGATGGATAGATAGATGAGTTTCTGTGGCTGTATGGGATGGGACTGCTCCTCTCCTCCTAAAATTTGACCATAGTGAATCCTCTGTTTCCCTGTGTTTAGGGAGATGAGAAGAACGACAACTGGATCTTTTCTCTTGCTGTCCTTCTAAGCAGCACACTGGTCTACAACAGTACAGGGACCATCAACAACAACGCCTTGCAGCAGCTGCAGTATCCTTGATGATGTGGCATCATTTTTAAGAATCTGTGTACTGTGTTGCAACCTTCAGTCAGAGCCTAACCTAAGCACTAATGTCCTGTCAAGAATACAGCTAGGTCAAAACTAACTTCTTACTTTGCAACAGTGAGCTTAGAAAAAGAGTGATGGACAAACGTCTAACACTTTCATTGGGGGAATCTTGTATACAGTTGTTTAGGCTTTGCTAGGTGCTGTAGAAATGCAGATGTCAAGCAAACTGAGAAGAGCAGGGTAAAGCTAGGATTCTTCGTATCACTCTGGGAGAAACAGTTCATGTTCCCTCAGGTGCCAATATAAACATGCTTATCAGGATCCGGGATGACCAGAGGAACATCTGCACTAGGTATTGAGTCAGTCTGTTCAGAAATGACAGAATACAACAGTAACTCAAGTAGGGAGCTGTGTCAGCATGCAAAGGCTGCAAAGGAACAAAAAGGCAAAAAGAAGCAAAGAATAGTGTTTACTTGTTCCTCTACAACAGTAATGTCTTTTAGAGAGTGTTTATGACAGATATATGTCGAACTACTAAATCTAATTAAATATTTTGAAAATGGTGAAATATTGGAGAGGCAATATTTATGTTGAAGGTGAAATTCTCTTTGTATTAGGTATTGGTCTACATTGATGTGAAAATGCATTATCCATTATATTTTTCCAACTATCAGTATTTAAAAATGCTAATGTATTTTATGTTAAATGGTTATAATCATAAATAGATAATTTTGCATAAGAACTGTAAAAGGTATCTTTGTGGTCAGCAGAGGTCTCTACTGCTTAGGGAGGTCAAGGCTGTTGTCCTGAACAATGACTTCTACAGCTATGTCACTGAACTGACTGAACACATTAGAGTAAAGTCCCATACAAGGAATGAGGAGGACAACTCGGCTGAGTTTGCTCGTTTCTTCCCTTCTTTTGTGTGGACTGTGCGAGATTTCACCCTGGAGCTGGCGATTGATGGGAAAGTGGTTACAGCTGATCAGTATCTGGACAATGCTCTAAAGCTGAGGCCAGGTAAAGATTTTCTTTATCCCCACTCTAGGAGTATTGTCATGCTTGATCAATTAAAGTAACATTGCTGCAGGTTTTACAGCACAAAAGTACAACATTCTATGGCTTTACAGAGCTATATTTGAAAGATTCCTACATTAAGGTTACACAAGATTTTTGCAAATAGGTACAAAGGTATTTCTAGGATTGAACAGGAAATTTCTTGAAATAAGATTGTGTTCTTGATATGGTTTGCCCAATCCTGGAAGGCAGGTCAATGTGTCTGCAGGTGGTCCTGGTCTCTTTAAAGCAGCAGCACCTGAAGAGCTGAGAGAAGCTGTAAAATCGATGCAGTTAAGTAACTGGGTAGGAGCTGGGTTGAAATTTTAACTTGAAGACATTTTGGTCCTGGACACCCCAGTTCTAGAACTAGCAAACAGAAAATGAGAAAAATTGATTTAATTATTCAAGGATTCTTCCCTTTGTTTTTGATCTTTAAAGCAGGCGTACGCGATGCTATATGAGCTGCAGTAAACATGCCAGACTTGTTGCAAAAAGACATGACAGTAAAATCTGATCCTCCAAAAAAACCTTTGCCTTCCTCTTTCTCCAAGGCACTGACAAAAAATCTCAAGAGTACAATTTGCCCCGTGAGTGCATCCGAAATTACTTCCCATCCCGCAAGTGCTTTGTGTTCACGCGCCCCACCACCCCTGAGAAAATGAGACTGATGGAGGAGCTGAGCGACACTGACCTAGACCCCTGCTTTGTGCAGCAGGCCAAGGACTTCTGCCATTATGTCTTCACCAGTGCCCAGACCAAAACCATGAAAGGGGGCTACACAGTCACTGGCAGATGTAAGTATATGGGTTTAGCAGTGGCTCCTAGACTGATTGTGAAATTTTTAGAACATAAGAAAGGTTGCAGACAAGAGGACCTCTGTTCAGAAATGAGCAGATAATTGATCCCAGGATCTCATCCAGCCATTTCTTGAAAGAAGAAGGGTACTTCAACAACATACCAGCACCCTTTGGATAAAGAAATGCCTCCTGTCCTCAGTTTTAAATACTCTTCCATAAAGTTTCCATGTAGAGTAGGTCTAAATGACTCTGAAAAGCTGTGCAAAAGAACTGTATTTAAATTCCTAGATGACAATGTGTGCAATCTAGACCTTTAATTCCATATGGATAACTAGTCTTGGCAAGAGTCAGACTGATGTCAATTTCTCAGCACAGGCAGAAGTGAAGACTGATACACTCTACACATATTTTCATGGGTACAGTGCATGTGTTAGCGACACTGATTGTTTGACTAATAAATTGGGGTGTCTCGCAGTGCTGGGGAGCCTGGCGGAGACCTATGTGGAGGCCATCCGCAGTGGCCAGATTCCCTGCCTCGACAACGCAGTCTTGGCTTTGGCAGAGATCCAGAACACCACCGCTCTGAAACAAGCCGTCTCCTACTACGTGAATGAGATGAACGAGTGGGTCGCATACCCCACTGAGACTCAGGAGGAGCTGTCCCAGCTGCATGGTCAGTTTGAGAAGAAGGCCGTGAAGATGTTCATCAACCACTCCTTCAAAGATGAAGACCAGAAGTATCAGATTGAACTTATGGTAAGAGCAATGGCCTCTGCCCTCAGGCTAAGCAGGAAGTCCTTACCTCTTCATAAACACAAAACAGATGTTTTTGTATATTCCAGGTAAGCACCTTCAAACAGAAGGCTTGAAGCGTGTTTAAGATTCAGGATTATGGAAAGTTGTACGTGTTCTTATCCTTCCTCCTGAATGCCAGTGTGGAACACAAGAAGCCATCACAATTTTACAGTGAATATTCCTAAGGCTCAGATTTGTAGTGAAAACATTTTATTAATCTTTTTCGCCCTTGTAGAAATCCCTTCAGAATGAATACGAGTCATTATGCATGAAGAATGAAGAGGCATCGCGCAAGGCTTGCAGTGATATCATCGATGAAGTATTCCAAATAGTAGAGGAGAACCTGAGCGCCGGGTCCTACATGGTTGCTGGAGGCTATAAAAAGTTCAAGACCGACATGGATGTATATATTAGTATATACATGGCAATGCCAAATAAAGGCATTAAGGTACAAAAAGATGATTTTTTAAGTCAGATGTATGCGACTATAGTGTGATGTTGCTGTTTGAGATTTACATAACTCTGCTGCAATAGTTTTTGAGTTTGTTTCTTAGCCACTGTGTTAGACTCCTGTTCTGGGTGACTGCTGGTTTCTAGAGCACAGGCTCTGCTTTGTGTCTGCAGGCGGAAGAAGTCCTGAAGGAGTACCTGGCACCTAAAGAGAGCATTGGAAGAGCCATACTGGCAGCAGACAAATCCCTCTCTGAGGCAGAAAGGAGGATTGAAGGTGAAATTTTAATAAAAAGGGAGAAAGATGGAGCATGGAGCATTTCATTTGTTCATTTGGTCATTTGAAGTAAGGACAAAGAGTGGAGATTGAGTGAGCTTTAAAACTGAGAAGAAAGGAGAAGGATCAAGAGAGATATTTTACTTATAATATTTCAGTTTTTCTAAAGGTTAATTAGCTACAAAGGGCCATAGTATCTGTAGCTATTCACTCCAGGTCAGGCTTCAGGGCCTCAGTTCAACATTGTAGATCAGTTATTTTAAACCAGATCTTAAAATGTTAGTGCTATGAAGAGGCTTATGCTGGATCATGGCCCTTCAGGACTGGAGGTTTGGACCCTTGGTTAATTATAACAGGAGGGAAGTACAAACGGCAAATTCTTGGCCAGAATCGAATGGCTTCAAAGGTGCTTATGGGTTCCTCTGCTTGTTGGGCAACTGTGTCCTCAGTGATGGTCTAGATGTTTGTGATCTTCTAAAGATGTCAAGAGCTTCTTTTTTTGATCTAATGCCTTAGCTCAGAAGGGTTTACAGCATGAAAGTACCAGATAGATCTGCAATCTGTGATGATGAAGATTTCTGTTGTATAGCAGGATAAAGGTATCAGTGGTGGATTGTGCTGTATGGCATTTTGCAGATATTCTACAAACAATTTGTTAACACCATTTGAAAAAAAAAATCTTCAGAAAATTCTAATGGGGAGTAGTAACACATGGCTCCTCTACTGTTCTGATTCTTGTCTTGTTCTGTAGAGGAGTGGGCAAGGTCTGCAGCTGCAGAACGGGATAGGAGGGCAGAGGAGGAGAAAAAATGGGTCCTTCAGAGGCAGATACAGGACCAAGAGAGGACCTACAGAGAAAACATGGAGCAACTGCTGGCCAAGATGGAACAAGACAGGAAAAACCTTCTGAAGGAGCAAGACAAAGTTCTGGAGGCTAAGCTGAAGGTAGAGCCCAACTAGGATACATTTACGTCTAAAGTAATTAATGTACAACTCCTCTAAGAGGTCCACAGCACACATTTTTCCTGGAAATATGTAAAATCAGGTAGAGATGTAAGAAATAGTTTACACTTGTTTTCTCCACTACATGTTCACAAACTCCTCATGAACTTTCAAGAACTTGCTCTGAATAAACTCATTACCCATTAAATGTTTGCCCATTACAGGAACAGAGGGACCTTTTGGAACAAGGCTTCAGAGACCGAGCAGATAGAATGAATGCTGACATCACATCTCTGAAGCGGGAGAAGGAGGAGACGAAATCTAAATCCCAGTCAATTGTTAGCACTGTTGTGGAAACTGTTGGTAATGTGGCTTCCTTGTTCTTACCAGGTATTGTTGGGAAAGCAGTGGGGATAGGTTCTCGGCTCCTTTCACGTTTTTTTTAAATGGTAACAGAACTCTTATCCTTAATATTTGGATCTATATAGTTCCAACCACTGAATCTTAGGCTTGTTAGTTGTTGCCTCTTTAATTTTATATACACAAATAGTATATATAAGTCAAAAGCATCAAGAGAAAATTTATGCATTGCTAGTCTTGGTCACCCTAATCGCTGTAATCAAGCCAGCAAGATTATGTGAATGTCCACTTGCTGTAGCCTGAGTTATATTCCTAGAACTATTTTTTACGTTGCTGAATTATTGTTTCATATTTACCTGCATTATGGCTTCATGGGCAACAATAGAAAACAGCACTGTAGCACTGAAGGGGCTTATGTATTTTTTTAATCTTATTTTATTCTTTATCATTTGGAGAGATCCACTTCAAACATGTTAAGTGAAATCCCAAAACCTAATGAGTTAAGCAGTGTTTTGGGCCTTGGACTTTGTAAACCCAGGATTGCCTTCTAGTGTGCAACTAAATGAGCCTTATGTTATTAAAAACCTACACAATTAAATATTTTTGCAAATATTATCTTTTTATTTACTGTGCAACAACATCTATACTGGCTATATTACAAAGGAGAGGTTTTTCACAAACACAGCTAACATTTGTTATGTGAGTCTTTTCAGTTTGACTTTACATGTGAAGAATGGCACCTCTTACAGCAGAGCTCTCTGAGTGTCCCAGAGAGAAGAGCACTACCTATAGATCCACCAAGACCATTTACAGCAGCAGCTGTCTCCCAGCCCACAAGTGACCAGCCTTGCTAAGTTTCTCAATTCTGATAAGAACAGTATAGAAGGTTGTAATGTGACAAAAATACTTCTTTAATTACCTCATCTGACATACTGCATACATGAATTGCAAAAATTAAGTCCAGATCTAAGCATAGTTATAAACTATACAAAAACCAGTCAACACACTCAGAGAATAATATGAGATGTGGTGGTCTGAAGTGCAAAACACCACACCACAATTTCAAACTGGAAATTAGCTCCTGGAGAATGAGAGGAACAGGGACTCACCCTGCGGGTAGGGCTAGTCTCAATGTGCTACTGTACACTTCCTGCCACAGTTCAGCAGCACAGTGATTGACATATGACATAAATATAGCCATGCCTTCCAGTTTGGAGTTAATGTGGTTGTGTTTTTTTAATATGTTGATTTATTTGGTATCATGCAATCAATTAAAAAATATATTTTCAAGTTTGTTGTTTTATTTTTGGATTAATTTATTTGTTTTTAGATTTGTTAATTGCTTGTTTATGTTGTTGGTTTGTTTTGTGCTTCCCAGCCAGCAATGACATTTTTGAAAAGTTCTATAACACAGGGCAGATCAACAGGAAACATCATGACTAAAACCCTCAGAGGCAAATACATGCAGGACCATGCACAAAAGCTAGCTACCAGCTACTACATCCATGAGCTACAGAAGAAGAATAATTCAACGTCTCATGAGCCTCCTTAAGGTCTTATACTCATAGATGGTACTAACTATGTCAGCAGCTGTACTGAGTACAGGCTTGATAAAATCCTTCCATGAGCTGCCCTTCGATGCCTCCTCCTTGAGTCTACCGATCTCTCTGGTCATCGCGGCCGCCTGGTCCTCGAAGCCCTTCCTCTGCAGCTGCTCCTGCTCCTTCAGCTTGCTCTCTAGTGCTCTCTCAGCTTCCACTCGGCAGTTCTCCAGCTCCTGTTCCAGCTTCTTCTGCGCCAGCTGCATCTGCTCCTGGTGCCTCCCGCGCTCATCCTGCAGAACCTGCTCCATCTCCAGCCGCTGCTCCTCCTGTGCTTTCCTCTGCTGCTCGGCCAGGGCAGCTCTCTCGTGCTGCTCTGCGCTCAGTCCACACCGTCAGCAGCCGCGGAAGTGGAGGGAAAGAGGGAGAAAATCACAGCTTGTTTTAATATTTAGATACAGAAATAAAAATGACATTTACATTTCACAAGTTCTACTTTTCATCTAAAAACTGCATTGCTTGAGGATACAGCAAAAATTGACCCTGACCCTATACTATAGTGGTGGCACTGTGGCTAAGGAAGGTTGCCGGTTCAAATCTCTCATTTGGCAGAAGAATCCTACTCCAGCAGGCCGCTGCGCAAGGCTTTTAAGCCCAGCTGATCCAGGGGTGCCGTAGAAATAGCTGACCCTGCACTCTGATCCCAAGCTTCTCTCTCCCTGTCTGTGTGCCTCTGCGTCTCATGGAGAGCAAGACAAAAGACAAATTCCTAATGCAAGAAATTGTATATGGCCAATAAAGTGATCTTATCTTACTTATGGAGGGCACTATGATTGATTGATCATGCCTGTGAGCAATAATGATTTAAAGAACGCTTAACCATCCTTCCCTACAGGTTTCTGATCTCTACCTACCTGCAATTTGTTTCTCTTTTTCTGTCAGTTCCTCATCAGCACGAAGAATGGTATTGGCTTCAACTTCCTTCTCTTTCAGACTCTGCTCCAAGACCTCCTCTGCCTGTCAACCACACAGGCACCTTAAAACATTTGGGATTAAAGAAATACCTAAAAACAAACTTATTTTTTCTCCAGAAGGGAGGTAGCAAGGGAAATGTTTAAGATTTAAAATCTTACTAGCATAAGGAGACCATACAACTCTGCAAGGACCGGAGCCCGGACTGACGATGAACTCTTGATCCTGGGGTGAGCTGGGTGCTAACCCCCATGTTTCTGTGCTGCCCAGCCATACATTTATTTGAAATTTTCTGTCCTATCCAGTTTAAGGGAATCTCACTCTCCTGGTAATGAAAGTTTCTACCTTAACCCCTTTGTTGGGTTCAGCACGGAACTGTGCCACCAAGGCATCTCGATCCTTACAGTAGAGCTTATAGCCACCAGGCTTGGCATAGAAGCCCTCCTCCAGCTTCTTGGCGATGGGGGTGGACAGCTCTGCCAGCAGGACATGACAGGTATTTATAGAGGCTTCTTCGTTGCGCATGAGGATGCAGTCATAATACTCTGCAATTTTCTCCTATGAATGAGACAACAGGAGTTACAGTACATTTGGCCAGTCCAGAAATCACAAATGTTAGGAAAGAGATCACAGTGGGAACACTATAAAATGTAGCAGTGTTACTTGACTGAAGGGCTTTCCTCTAGTGGCTATTAAAGATGTCTATTATTGTAAATAGACACACTGGGTTATGATTAGATAGCTAGATAACTGGTGAAGAGTTTAGGGGCCACATTCACATATGGGTATAATGAATTAAATGTTTTGGTATATAAAGCGCCTCATGGTGTTGCTGTAAGGCTTCTTCTAGTGTGTGTATGAACTGAAACTATGCAGTAAAGTGTCCTGCTTTCCAGTATTGTCCAGTGTGAGTTTTAATGGACATAGATCCCTTGAGCTACCTTGTTTAAGGTGGTGTCTGTCACAAGACTATTATAATTTAGTGTGACTGTTTTCTTCATGAAGACAGAACATCACTTTTCTTTATCTTTCAGTATTTCTTATTAACGTTAAGATGTCACTACTAAGCAAAATGAGGGCCTCCCACATTCTGAATGAGCATCTGTGTTGCCACTAGATTCTAAGATTGACCTTGCCTGTATTTCATCTGAAGATTACTGAACCCCTTCTATATTTTGTTTGAAGAAGTATCCTTCAAATTGAAGTAATAGCATACACTTGATTTTAAAGGTAAAATAATTTCTTTGCCTTTGCAGACCTAGATTTTAACTTACTCCCAGGTCGCTCATGTGCTGACCACTTTCATCTTTGAAAGACTTGCTGGCGAACCTCTCCAGAGCCAGTTTTTCCCAGTGCCTGTGCTGCTGGGATAAACCCTCCAGGCTGGCTGGGAAGGTCACTGCCTTGTCCATCCCCTCCTTGTACACCTTTATCCCCTCCTGCACAGCTGCCTGGTTCTCAATCTGTGCCATTGTCAGCACTGCGTTCTCCAAGCAGGGCACATCACCGCTCGAGATGGTGCCCACGTAGGTACTGGCCAAGATACCAAGCACTGAGAAAAGAAAACCAGAAAACAAGTATGGTGGAGAGAGGTGTTGCCCACAGAAAAGCCCTAAGACCTGATGCAGTTTGTATTCAGAGTTTATAAAAGATACACATTCTTCTAACCAAACTGCTCTGAAGTGCTGATTTTCAACACAGCCTGCATGTAATCCAGACCATCCCAGTTTATTATGTGCTGTATATCACTGCAGGGAAGTGGACATTTGCACAGAATGGAGTCCATAAGCAACCTATTTCAAATCCAAACCCACTGATCATATTAAGGGTCACTGGAGAGACTCCTGCCGACAATGATAAAAGTGTCTCGGAAAAGTGGGGGTAGGATATGGAATACAAGGGTACTGTAAGGCAGACAAACAGGGACTGTCTCACTCACTCCTGCCACTGACAGGATGTCCTCCCTTGATGGTTTTGACGGGACTCTGGTTGAAGACGTGCTGGCAGAAGCGCTGGGTGGCCTCCAGGAAGGAGGCGCTCAGGTCCCTCTCGTCCAGAGTCTCGAGGCGGGTCATGGCATCGGGGGCGGCGGGGCTGCCGAAGACGAAGCAGCGGCGCAAGGGGAAGAAGTTCCGGATACACTGCCGGGGCAGGTTGTAGTCGGACACTTTCCTGTTGGTTCCTGAAGAAGATAGCGCAATCCTTCAATATTAACTTAGAGGAAGCATGCAATCAGGATTAATACACAAGAACATCCTTTTTATTGTATAGTTTGGTCATGGGGTATTTTGAATGGAGCAGAAAACACTGACACATCCTTTATTTGGTGAAATGGCTGTAAGGCAGCAGAAATCTTTTACCCTTCTTGAGAGACAGAGCGTGTTCAAGATACTCGTCCTCAGTCACCGGCCTCCCCTCTATCTTCAGCTCCAGGGTGAAGTCGCGCACAGCCCACACAAAATTGGGGAAGTAGCGCACATACTGAGAGTCCTCTTCATCCTCATCATCATCATCACCACTTGCAGGCTTGGGGTCCCTGGGTGATTTGACCTTGATTAGATCAGTGAGCTCTGTCACATATCTGAGGGGCTTCAGGAAAACCACGCACAGCTATTCAAAGAATCACAGGTGTCACTTTCCTCAGACACCCCTCCCCCACAATTGAGCTATGCCACCGATGGTGCTTTAGTTATCTAAGACCAGGAGTGAATTGTGTATATCAAAATACCGATAGATAATATTTGTCTGGTGAAGTTCCAGTCGAAGCACAGACCAATCTCCAGCATTCTAATTCTTATTATTATTATAAGGGCACCACAGTGATGCAGTTGTTAGCGATGCTATCTCACTGCGCTGGAGTCCTGGATTCTATTCCAGATCTGGGGTGCCATCTATGTGGAGTTTGTACCTTCTCCCCATGTTTGCATGGGTTTCCTCTTGCTTTGATTTTCTTCCACAATTCATGACACACTGGCAGATAAATTGGCTTCTTGGAAAACTGGCCCTGATGTGAATGTGTGTACTTGTGTATGGTGTCCCACTCAGGTTCATGTGCCTGTTGATTACCAGGTTAGGCTCTGTCACGGATGTTGGAAAGGACGAACTGTGGAATGGCAGGAGAGAGTAAAAGACCCTATGCGTAGCAGCGAAACGTGGGAAAGCCCGGGCTCAGCTGTTCAGGAAATACTGTATAGAAACCTGTGCCCTCAGGTAGCGGACGTGGGGTGACCTGGTGCTAGATGGGTCTCAGGACATCCGAACGTCAATGCTGAGCGAAGCAGAATAAGTGACCCGGAAATATATAGCCCCAGAGAGAGAGAAAAACACCGGAAGGACAGCAAAGCACCGGAAAAAAGAGACAGGACAGAGAAGGAATGCCCTCTGGCTGCAGAGGGCGTGACAGGCTCCAGCTCCCCTGTGACCTTGTATTGGATAAAACAGTTAGAAAATGGATGGATGATATTTTATTGTGTGGTGTGGTGGCATGGAGGTTAGTGCTTCTTCCTCACAACATCAGAGTCCTTGGGGGCATCTATCTGCATAGCTGGGTTTGTGTAGGTACTCCCAGTCATGGGCTCGCTGTTCCACCATGTGTCCATTTTCTGAGATCAGGTTCTGATAACAGATCATGGTAATTGTGTAGTTCTAAAAAATAAACAGTCATACCATCTCCCACACACCTCAATCCCAAAACCTCCTACAAGTACTTGAGCCTTGTCACTGAAGTTGGGATTGTGTGAGACAATACACTCTGAAAATGTACACTGCTTTCCTACAACTACAGCATTTTTAGACCCTGTATTCCCTTTGTTACTTTATTACTGGCAACGGGTTACCAATGAATTTAGGCAAGAGTACCAAAACATTAACTCCTTCCATTGCATAGAAACTAATACAGCATTATAAAAGAAGAATCAAATGCTCTGTAGTGTCTTGATTCAATTTAAACTCTCCATCACCTTTGCTCTCAAAAAGACACAAAGTTAGTGAAAGCTGTCAAACAACTTCACCTTTCACTGCCTGCAATAACTGTCTTTTGTTGCCTCAACCTCAAACAAATGTAGTTTTGACAAAAACAGGTTTGTCTATTAAATGTTCCAAAATGAAGCTGTTGCTTAAAGCCACACCGTAGACACTTTACAATACTTTAGCCATAGATACAGAGTTCCACTTTGGCACTTTAAAATTAAAATCCGCCTGAGACACAAGGATACTGCAGGTTCTCCAGGGCATTGTTGTCGATGGTCCCACGGCTGTTGTACACCAACGTGCTGCTCAGAAGAATGGCCAGAGCAAAGATCCAGCAGTCGTTCTTCTGATCTCCCTGGAAAACATGTTCTCAGTCTCTTGATAATCCACTTTCCATTTCTTCTCTACTGCAGCAGGTTTTAAATATAGGCACAGGATTTAAGAACTAGGAAAATGACAGCTGTTGGTGGTAGAATGTGCACATCTCATTCATTGGCATATAATTAAATCTAACAGGTCTGTGGCTGCTAAACTGTGCCGTGATCAAGTTCCACTCTGAGCTTTTTTGCTTTTTTAAAGTACTGTATGTTGCATGTAATTTGTATAATGCCTACACATTACGAACAGTAATATACATACAGGTTGCATGCTGAAAAAATAAAACAACCTGTTCAAAACATCACCTTAGTTCCCATTGTCAGTGCCTTTGATGATTCATGTTACAAGCACTGGAGAATAATATAGAAAACATTAAATATATTTGTATTCTGGCTGTGGCTGAAATACAATAGTTATACAATATAATACAGTGCAATTAAAAAGAACAGAAAAAGGTTACAGACACAATACGATAAAAAAATCATCTGGAGAGACCAAATATCTGAGGTTTGAATCTATAACCTGTCCTCTATCCCTTAATTTTGAGTTGAAAGAGTCCCAGTTTCCCACCTTTTCCACATCTCCCAGGCCCTCGGTGTCCAACAGCACCAGGGTGTGGTCAGGCTTACTGGGGTGAGGAACGCACCACATCCAGATGCCCTTGGTGTGGGACTGTATGGTGGACCCCAGGGCGAATCCTGAGAAACAAGACAAAGTGACAATTCACACACAGACCCACAAAGCCATTAAACTTGTTAGAAGGTAACATAGTTCCTAAGAAATCATGTCACAATGTTTTCTTCAATGAAGGGAGACAGGCCTTTTGACAGAGTGGAAGTCAAAACATTTTGGAGGCTTTTTGTGGCTCAGGGCTGTGAGATGACCGAGTCTGTAATTAACTCTCGGCAAGATGATTTGCATTCCTACCACTTTCTATCAGAGATAAAAAGCAATAGAAAATAAAATAAAAAAAAATTAGAATGAGGAAATTCCAAATAAAATGTAAATCACCATGAACACTGCATCTACAAGATTCAAAGTCCGTAAGGAATACCAGGGTTCGATCATTATCAGTGTTATCAGTGCCCAATTCACTCACCCCTTTTCTTCCCTGATAGCTTGTTCATGAGGTAGGATTTGCCTGTGCGGTATAATCCCACTACTGACACCACAACCACATGCTGTGAAATCTGATTTAATATCTCCAGTGCAATGGGGTTGACACAGAACTTTCCATCCTGGCCATTCTCGATCAGACACACGGGAGTTTCCATCAACACTGTATTGCTGGCCACGACGTCTTCTGAACTGACAATCTGTATGAAAAAACAGTCAGGACAATGTGAGCCTAGTGGGGTATAACAATGCAGCTCTACCAGCAGAGTCCAGTCAGCTGTAGATTCGGTTCTTGAGGACACAGGTGATTGTTTCTGAAGCTAAACCACCATAGGCATGTGGTGAATGTAGTCAATACTCAAACCGCATACAGGACCGTCCTTCATCATGTTTGATTTGATGATATGGGTCAATGTGTTATTAAAAACCTTTTCAGTCTGGACTTGAAAATTATGTCATAAATGAATTAATCAGTTTCCTCACTCCAAAAACATGAGCAAACTCAACTCATACGTAGCTGTGAATTTGATTGTGTTGTTTTGTGTGTAGAAACAGGTCTTGCCAGCTGCCCTGATCAAAGTGGCATCTATGTTAGGTTAGATCCAAAGAAAATTATGAATATACGTGTTAGCCTATACCCTTGTGTAATCATTTACAATGTGATTAATGGAATTTTAACTGAACTCTAGAATAGTTCATGCTGGGATTAAGCAACAATTCTTTACCGTATTTATTCTAATGCCACCAGAGTATGTGGATCCAGTTAAGTGAACGATGCAATGTGCATATTTTAGTTTTCTCATTTAAAGAAAACAACAATTATTAAAAGCAGATTTTATATTGTTGTATAACATTGATATCCATCACAGGAAGGCAGGTTAAACTAACAATAAACATCGATTGGTTAGGCTATGTTCAAAGGAAAGGAAATCATTTGAAACATAATATTTATACAACTATTTTATCGAGAATAGTACACCTCAAAGCGCATTTCTGTTTTTTTATGAACAGAAATGACTGCTGGGAGGATTAAGGAAATTAACAACATTTCACTAGGGACAACAGCATTCAAGAACTGCACGCTTTGTGACTTGGTGAAATAAATTTGGCTTTAACCTGCTTGGTGAAATGGGGGGCCTCCTGACCATAGAACGACAGGCTTGAATTCCCTCCTGAACTTTAGTTAATAACCTCCATTTAGCTAATTAAAACCGGGTAAGCCTGAAATAACATCGATAATAAAAACAAGATGAACACAGCATTACGATGTTTATTAATGATTCTTTCGAATTTAAATTTTAGTTTACTTATTTGCTATGCGGATGAGCTCCTTATATATAGTTCCTTCTATGTCTGTAGTTTTCCATTTGCAAACAAGTGCGCAGAGAAAAACTCTTTATTCAGTCACGATAGCAGGTCAGACCGCGGCTCCTGCTGCGATACGCGACCCCGAATTCGGTGATTCGCACGTGCTTGTGTCCCTTTTCAAGCAAGCGCCTCAGATTCCCGCTGAGGTACCTCACCTTGAAACTGGGCCTTTGTTCGCCTGGTGAGAACGTCTTTGGGTTCGAACTATCTCGTCCACCGCCGCAGTCTTTAGAAGCGTACTGTACCGTGTTTTAAACCAGCCCCGTGAAGAGCAGTCATTTTATCGCGCAAGTCTCAGGAGTGAGAGTTCCGCACGAATGAGTCGCTTAAGCTCCGAAGTCAATATCAACTATCAATCAGTCTTTGTTCTTCCATTGCGCCTTTCAGTCCAGAGCTTCTCAAAACATTTCATAAACATTATGCATAGAAAAGATATAGTAAACAGAAAAAAGAATAATAAAAAATAATACTAAATAAAAGAGATATAAATAATAAAAGAGAGCTAAAACAAAGAATTAAACAGTAACGGAATTTCTTGCTTTACATGAAACAGGATTACCCATATACTCCACCCGTAACTTGTATCATTCCATTTCAATTGTTAAACGATGTATTTATTCGCTTTAGTGGATACATTTTGTTATCTAGCACGTTAAGACAACGACTGCTTAATCCAGTTCCAGCCACCTGCTGTAGTAGAAGAGTCTGGTCTCCGCATAACTGTAACCTAAACACCGAAATACTTTCTCAGCAACACAGGGCGACAATACAAGGGAAGACAGCTATTGAAAAAGCAGTGAATAATAAAATCCTTGTAAAATATAACGGGGGGTCAAATCTCACACGAGATGCTGCTGTTGCACCCCGAGCAAGGTACAGTACCTGACCCGAACAGTTCTAGAATATTACCCGGCTGTGCAAAAGGGTTCGCGTGTAAGCCGCTTTGGTTAAAAGCGTCTTCCAACTAAAAACAAAATGTATTTAACAATTAGATGTTACCTTTGCTAGAGAGCAGGAATCAAAGGGAAGACCTTGCGAGTTTGCTAACCGGCAATACAGAAAGTAAAAAGTTCCTTTCCTGCCCTACTCAGCGAATGGGTGCGGCTGGCCGAAACGTCTTTCGTTTTCGATTTGAGGAATCAAGCAAGTCGCTTATGTGCCTCACCACCGTTATCTTAAAGAGAAGGGAAACAGACAACACCCTCTTTGGATTTTAAAATTCTAATATTCTGTGAAACAAGCGAGGAACCCCTGACGCCTTTTCTTTTTCAGCTGTTGTCCTTTTTTAAACACGCGGTGTACCCTTGATGTGGGGAAACGCAAATTCCTGAAAAGGGTTTTTGCCTCCTGCGTTCTATTTCTAATAGTGGTGTTTTTTCTTCGCATCTCCCTTTTCAGCTGCTAAAAGCTTGAAACAGGACTATAGCGCAAGCTACTGTACATCCCATAATAATGCTGTGAGGGTTTTGCTGGCAGTGAGTTTTCTGTTAAAACGATTTTATAGCATTATACTGGAAAAAATGAGTCTGCATGGTCCTTTTAACAGTATCCCCAAGGGAATTCCTGTAGTGGCATTCAGGACATGTTGCTGGCCTCTTCTCTACGGTGATGTTAGAGAGTATGTAAGCACATGTACTGTACTGATGTCTGTTAGCATGTTCCAGCGGACTGGGAGGTAAAGCTCTGTTAATCCCACTACTAACACCATCAATGAAAGGTGAATGCAGACAGATTTTTTCTTGAATAATGCTATATTCGTATTAATAAACCCAGGGATCCATTACACATTCAAACTAATCTGACCTGGGTTTTTATCTAACACAAAGTATCAATCAGCTGAAAAAACACAGAACAAGCCCTGACACGCTTTCAGTGATGAATTTTAATTTGTTTGAAGGCAGTTTTAATGTCACAGAACAGAGCAGACTTTGGCTCTCGGCAGAAAGAGGACCTTTGCTAGTCCGAGATGAAGATGGTGGACACGATCTCTGTCATGCTCTGCTCCTGTATGATTGGGGTCCTGTCAGCAATGACTCAATTTCACAGGTAAACGACACAGGCAGTCCGTTCAACATCATCTGAAAACATTTGCTTCCCTCCAGGCATTCATCTGCAAAGCCACATCATAACTTTGTTGTAAATCTGGAACTCCCAGGCTTGGGGGCACAAGCACATATCAGAGGACACCCCTGTTACTGGGAAAATATTCCACCCTAAGATTAAGACGTTTATGAGCTGCTTTTCCTCTTTCTGTTGCCAAAAAAATCATAATTAAAAAGTCTGCAAATCTGTCTACCTGCATGTTTCATTATTGCTACAATAAGATGTGCTCTCATTTTTTATATAGATACTGTACAAGCACGTTGAGGTTGATCAAGTGTCCGGTTGAAACTGGTGATCCAGATAAGAATTCCTTCAAGCAAATGACTTTGGGAAAATGACAATTAATAAAATCAGAGTGCTTACTACAACTAAAAAATTACATAATTAAGACTCCTATTTTGTTATTTTAAATGATGATGTCAGGAACTTGATTTAAATGAAATAATCTGGCCTGTGGAACAAATGGCTGCTGTGGGTTAAGGGACCGTTGTGACTAAGCAGTGATGTCCTCAGCCATGACAAATTCAGAAGATTGCCACTTTGGTTTCATGACAATGATAATAAATCTATCAAATATGAATGACAAATTAAAAGAAAATGGAGAGGTTCGGTCATAAACCCGTCCTGGAAGAAGCGTTTGGATGGATGATGAGAGACAGAGGTAGACCTTGACATACATACAGTATTCCATTTCTGCTGGTTTACAAGACGAGCCCACACCAGCCCCAAATCCACGAATGAGGAGGCTCAAGTTGGACCGCGCCTGCGTCTCGCGAGGCCTCACCTGCCAGGGCCCCCTGGGGGGGGCTGGGTCTTGGCACAGGCCCTCTCCACCACGTCGTGGGTCAGCAGGTACATGTCCACTACGGCCTGGCAGGGCTCGCGGCACTGCAGATCCGTCTCACACGTACCGTCCCGTCCAGATAGAAGTTACTTACACATCGCAGAAATATATACCATTGTGTTACCCCCATCCTTCAAAAACTACAAGTGTGTGACACAAACTAGTGTCCCTGGTGAACAGAAAACACCAAGCCTACTGTCAATTTAGGCACTCTTGCTCATCAGGAATCTGTGAAGCTGCTATGGATTACCCTACCACGTTAGGACTCCTCGTGTGTACGGGACGACAGATACAGTGTTATGGATTTCCGTGGCTGTTAACCTGCTTAGTTTGGACAATTGATTGTATATTTTGCTTTTTTGTATATATTAATATGAATAAATATTTATTTATATTTTCCTTATCATTTCCTTATCATTTTTCATGTTTATCATGTTTTGTGTTCTGTCTATTACCCGCCTGCAAAGCATGTTTCCCATCTGGGATAATAAAAGGAAGAAAGTAAACTCAGTCAGGAAAAACATACATGTATAAAAAAAATTGCTAACTTGATCTTTTGCAAACACGAGCTCTTGTTGCAACAGTGTTTGCAGAAAAGTTGGTTCATTTGCATCTTCTCCACATCTGGTTTGCTCCATGCACGGCCTGTACCGGCTGCACAGCTGCGCTGGGCAAGGAGCAGCAGGAGCGAAGCATGAAAATGGCTTTTAGTCTCACCGGAGCATGAACATACCTGAAACACCTTTGTAACACTGGAGGCCATCATGTAGAGTCGTGCAAATTATTTTTTGGAGAAAGTGCAAGGTTTAGAATTTTCACATTGCTCTAAAGAAAACAGAACAAAAAAAAAACTTAACTCAAGTAACTATCGTTTGCAGGGCCGGATTAAGACATTGATAGCAGCACGAGTTCGTCCTTCTAGCTGCGATCAAAGCCGAAAGTATGCGGACTAATTCAGCTCAGTTTGGAAACTCCTTCGAAAGCGGCGGAGAGCCAAAACAAAAACAAAACGGAGAACCCGCTGTACCTCACGGACTGCGTTCAATGAAAAGCATTCATCGTCGGAGGGAATGTTCTGTCTGTGTCCGCCTACTTATCGAATTGCAGCGTAGACAATGCAGAATTACTGTGAAAGAAATTAATTTCGTTCGCAATTTAATTACTTAATAATTCAGAACAGTCCTTAGATTTCGACAGCGCCTGAAATAAATGTGCAAGTGCAGTTTTTTTGTCTAGGCAGATGTACGGGTTAATCTGACCATGTTGGTTTCATTACCATGATGGAGCATTATTAAAAATCTAATCTTTTTAATAATTTAATCATGCATAGTTCCCCGAGAGCAGCAGGGGGAGCCCCAAGTTCCGTTTTCAACACCCGGATCATCTTAGTTGATCATGGAACATAAAACAAACTCCACACAGACAGCACTCCAGGTAACTGCACTAACTGCACCCAGGGCCCAAGTGCTGTGAGGCAGCTGTGCTGACCACTGCACCACCAAGCTGTCTGAAATGTTCATATGTTGTAGAAATTATTTCTAATTTGTTGTATTGCTGCTCTGTAGAGGTGAAAAGGATCTGATGCAGATGCAGGAGTCGTTGGGAGGTAAGTAAGCGAAAAGAGCAAAACCAGGAGCCGAGTCGTAGTCCGGAGGCGTAAGGTAGGTCGAGATCCGGTAAAGGCACTGGTGGCGAACAATCCAAAATGTGAGACAGAATCGTGGTCGAAATGAGAGCGGCAGGGTCAAATCTGAAATACACAGATAGCAAACGATCCAAGGGGCGGGGCGAGATGAGATCCGAAGTCCGAAGGCAAAAGGTTTAAACAGAATTCCAGGAAGGCAAAAGGGGTAAGAAATACTAGGCAGAGCAACAAGAAGTGAACTCAATACCAAGCAACGGGAAGTAGGTTAGAATAGTATAAATAACCCGGCATTCCACACGGTAGAGCAATTGCAGGTGTGTTAACTCGTGCGGCGGCGCTTGTTAATAGTAACCCGCTGCTGGTGCTGATTAGCTCGCTTACGCGTTGATCTCTGCTGGCTGGTGGTCGTGACATTTGTGCTTGTCTAATTTGTTTTTTTTGTTACCTTTCACTGCAGCACGACCTCCTACATCACTGCTAATATTCCAGAACAATGAGACCGTGTTTACTCATTACATATTGGCGGCATTAAGACACAATATTGTTCCTGAACTTGAAGCAGAAACCTGAACTCAATTTTCTTGTGGCTAATTACTCGGAATCTGAAACAAATTAAACAAAAATCAATGAAAGCTATATAGAAAACAAGGCACGCAAAAGGGGTGATTAACTTTTAAACACTTAGGAAAAAAAAATAACCGTGAGTACAATGTCACGTACCCAGAGTCCCAGCTGCTGCCCTCTCGTGGTCACTGAAGCAGGAGACTGAAACCACCTCTTCACGGGCTTCAAGCAGCTCAGCCGCGGGCAGAGCGGAGCTCAGGATCACGGTAGAACCTCCCGAATACCGTGGAAATAATATCGTCGCTGAGTCGTGAATTTATGCATCCGTAGTTTATATAATTATTGTAATATTTAACTAAATTTGCTTTCCACTCACACCACAATTATTCATGACAACGTGCATCAATACATGTTTATTAATAAAGTGTAATTTATTAACAATGAAGTTTAATGTCTGTCTTTATTAGTAGCTGTATTACAGCTGATGCATGTAGATCCTTTAGTATGAAATCGTCAATTTTATGATATTGGAAGTGAAGAGAACTGAAATTAAGCTACATATTTAAATGGTTGTAAGCCTTCAATGTGTTTAGTATTATCTGGGTATTAATTTAATAGATTTGCATTTTATTGTGACGGGACTCCAAACTCTTGGTTCTCATGAGAAAGCATGGATAGTGGGGATTTGGGGGTACAGTGAAGAACCTATGTAGGCAAATGTAAGGGTACGTTAAATAAAAAGCTCTTATCTCCGTCGTGTTTTTAAAGGTGCTGATTTGTGGCAGTTACTCGGAACAGAATCATTTCTCTGTCCTGCGGCTGTGGGCCAGTAATAACGGCGCAGTGAGCAGAGTGTCCTGGAGACGGAACCGGAGGCTCATCCAGTCGATAGTGAAGTCGTGTAGGGCCGCACACGCCGCAGTGACGGACTGGCGCCGGACCCAGCGAGAGGCGAGCAGACCGCTGTGTTAAAACTCCAAAGGCTCAGAGGAACAGCAATGAGCTGAAATGACCCCATAAGATCTGTTACAGAAGTCTCCTGACTTTACCTTTTTAGGGCTGTAATTATAATTAGTTTTTTACTTGTAAACTAAATCCAGTTACAGGTACCAGCACCTTAGATTAATAAAAAAAATATGTTTAAGAAATACAATTGCTAGCGCTATTGGACATTAGCTGGTGCTTTTTGTAACAATTTGTTAACTTTGCTGCTAGAAACATACAGTACATTTATCAGTAATCGGCCAGCAGTCATATCACCCTACAACTCACAACTGGCAACCCACTGAAGCTCAGCAGGTGTGAGCCTGGTCAGTACCTGGATGGGAGACTCCTGGGAAAAACTAAGGTTGCTGCTGGAAGAGCTGTTAATGGGGCCAGCAAGGGGCGATCACTCTGTGGTCTATGTGGGTGCTAATGTCCCAATATAGTGACAGGGAAAACCTAGATTTCTGTGGTCATTAAAAATTCCAGGGTGTTTCTCGAGAAGAGTAGGAGTGTTACCCCAGTGTCCTGGCTAAATTTCCCATTGGCCCTTACCAATCATGGCCTCCTAATAATCCCCATCATCACTCTGCTCTCCTCCCCACTAATAGCTGATGTGTGGGGAGCGTTCTGGCGCACTATGGCTGCCATCACATCACCCATTGGTGGAGGGGATCCCCATGACCTGTAAAGCGCTTTGAGTGGAGTGTCCAGGAAAGCACTATATAAGTTTAAGCAATTATTATTATTGTTCAACATGTAACTTGCTTATCCAACTCTACCTTAAACGGAGAAGATCCACAAATATAAATTAAAAAGAAACTACAAATGTAGCACGTGAAATTGCATAAATCTTACATTTATAGTATTGCAGGCACGATTGTAGCCTATACATAACACCAAAACAGCGATCTTCTTTTTTATCCGAGGCATCTCCGAATCAATTCATCAATGGGACTACAAGCCGATATAATACGAATCATGGTCAAACTCAAACCCGCAGCTGCTGTTCTCGTTTGTTTAGCGACTGATTGCAATTGAATTTCGCATTACTAGTTATGTGCCCATATCTGGGATATTTCAACATAAATGCCCTTCTTGAATTAACTAGGTCGCAATTTAGGACACAGCTGCACGATAAATCTGATACTGACCCTTTATGACTAAGCGCTTCTATCTCAGACTATCACTTAAAAATCCACATTCTTTGTAATGTAATCGGGTTCTGTAAATCTCCGAGAAACATTTTCAGTATGAATATTTATCTCAGGCTGCAGTTTGCTTCTCGAAGACATTTTTAAGATGTTGTTTTGAAATATCTGTCACACGTCCGAGAAGAAACAAGTCTAGATTTTATAAAAATTTGTAAACAAGGTTACTCACAGCCCGGAGGCGCCCAGAAGTTTCGGTACATTATATACATTTCCTTCTCAAATTTGAGTTAATAGCAGTGATGTCTAGAACAATTGCATAGCGCAATTTGTTTTTGTTTAGGCTCCTTATTGATGGGAAATTCTTGCTCAAAATTGCCCGCCCTCCAGGGCAGAAAAGTTGCAGTTTTTAACACAAATCCTTTGCGCTATTTCACTACAGTAAGTCACCTGTGATGAAAACACACCACCAGAAAAAGCAACAGGCTAATCCGACAAGCAGGTGATTTTTTTCCTATCGGTTTTTCTATTAATCGAATGACAGTATTAGAGATGTACAGATTGAGCAATTATTATATAGATTCAATATCTGTTCTTTATATATGCTATGAAACGGATGTATATTTTTCTGAGAGATATATTTTGCATCGAATACAGAGTTATTGTCCTTAATTCGTAGAGAAGTCATTAATGGTGTTTAGGAGTGAAACATTAGCTAACATCGCCAGAGGTGAAAATCAACTCCAAATCCTGTACTTCTTAGGAAAAGACTGGAACACGTACGGTATGGGCAAGTACTGTATGGTGGACGCGACAATATTATTTTATTAATATGAAGTGCATGCATCAGACAAATACAGTAACTGCGGAACCATCGCTAAAATTAGTGACTGATTATGGAAATGTTTGTCCGTAAGGGCAGTGTCAATAATCACTGTTTGAGATATGGAGTAAGAGCGTCTGTCGATCTGTACAGGACATTAAATTAAATTCAATTAAGTTTTATTTGTATAGCGCTTTTTACAATGAACATTGTCACAAAGCGCTATATCGCTATTAACAGATCTCCCGGCCTGAACACCCCAGTGAGCAAGCCTAAAGAGACAGTGGCAAGGAAAAACTCCCCTAGACTGAAGAAGGAAGAAAGCTTGAGAGGAACCTCGGTCCGAAAGCGGGGAGCTGTCCTCCTCGGGCCGGCACCGGGTTAAATTAGAATGAACACATATGAGAGTCGTCTGTATTCTATCATAAGATGGGAAAAACAAAATCATGTACAGTATGATAGCGTCCAACTGTCACAATCGTCATCCCTTCTCTTAAGGGCACTCCGACCCTTTAGTATTTTAGTTGATTACATGCACCTGTCCCCTGTTTTGTCTTTATTTAAGGCGGGGGCTCTCGGTATTCCTGGCTCAGCATTGGGAGATGGACACCCGGAAACCTGCCTACCAGCGGGTTTAGGAGAGACCGTCTGAGTCCGGGGACGCCTGGCCTCGTTTCCGTGTTCTGGATCTTAACCTTGTTTGACTTGGCTGGATCTCCCAGTTCCTGGACCCTGGACTGTTTGGACTTGTTTGCATGCCCCATGTCCCCCGAGCACCGGATCACCGTCGTCACGCCCCCCGGTCTGTCAACCTGTTGTCGGCTGTTGATTTTACGGCGGGTAAAAGGAGCTGGATTCTGGACCTGGACCTCCAAACAGTGCACCTTGGGATGGGTGTATAGAAGAGATGACAAATGGTCATACCGGTGAATGACAATGAAAACCGTAATTGGTAGTTTGCATGTCTTGCTATTCCTAAGTATATCTGAAACCTTGACTAAACAAATATGTTTTTATCCTAGCTTTGAACATTATTACGACCCCGGAAATTACACTACAGGTCTTACTTCACTGAGAAAGTGAGCGCAAAGCCTAGATGAAGCTATAAAAAAGACTGAAAACGGCGATGGTTGTAAAGCTGCAGGATACTGGAACTAATTTAAGATGGTTTCTAATATGGACGCTGTTCCCCCATGGCCAAAAATCGGAGCTGTCCGGCCAAGCAAAAGCGTGGAAGCAAACTGATTTATAGAACGTTTTTTTTTTTACTTTCTCATCTTCTAAGCCTTACTGATCTTACCTCCATTGTTATTGAGTGTTTGTTTTTTTATTATTTATTTTCATGTTTTATTTCTCGAATTCCTTTCTACAACGGTTTCAATGCAGTTATTTGTAAATTATGATTTGCTAAAATTTGGAAGGAACAAATTCTGTTTATCATTATTGTTATTAATGCTCCTTTTTATTAATTTCAGTTAAGACACTTCATCTTTATAAAATGCAGGCCTTGGTCCTTGTCTATACAGTAAGTTATGTATTCTTCAACACTGGTTAATAAAATACTTCTGGTTATGATTTATTTTATTGTTCTAAATAGTAAAATCTTGTTGTGTTGGGAGCTGATAATAAGAGTGTCTGTGCAGACTGTGGTCTGGAGGGGCCCCTTTCCACAGTCGTGCCTAGGACCACAGACTGGAAGAGCCGGCCCTGGGCCCAAGGAACACGAGGTGGCGTGGAGGTGCAGTGGTTGGCATTGCTACCTTGATAGCACTGGAGTCTGGGATTCAATTCCAGAGGTGGGCTGCTTTCTGTGTGGAGTTTGCATGTTCTCCCTATGTCCATGTGGGGTTCCTTTCAGTGCTCTGGTTTCCTCCCACAATCTAAAGACATGCTGGTACCTAGCTAGCTGCGGAATGGTATAGCTCTTGGCCCACCACTTCCAGAACGGTGTGATTTCTTTAGAGGTCTTCTGTCCCAGTACTGCACAGGCCCAGTTGTTCTTTGCATTGCAGATCAGTCCATCAATAGAAAGGCATCTCAGCCTCAACACAATCTTGTAAAGTTGATCTCCTGATGATTGGGAAGAATGTGTGAGTTGTCAGCTAGAGGAGCAGCCAAGTGAGCAGCAGGATCCAGAACTCTTGCTTTCGCTGGCAGAAACACAGCTGAAAGTTCTGAACCTTTGAACACCTGGAGAATGGCCATTGAAAGGTTTCAGTAGTGCTTATCATCGTGAAATAATGCAGAGCTTTATGAGTCTTTGGACCCAAAACTCCAGGATGTGGATTTTTTAGCAGCCCTTTAGACATTGAGTAACTACAGAGCACATAAAATAACTCCAATAAACACAACCCGAATGATGCACTTTCCAACAGTGACTTGTTTGTTTTAGATATTGTGTTCTAGTTGAATTGCACAATGACTGAATTCCAGATCATAAAGCATTTTAATTACAAATGACACCATATGATGTGTTGCTGTTCCTCCACCCATCCAGCTCATTCATCTTTGTCACAGTCGTAATCCCTCCTCTTAAAGGCACTCTGGCTCTTTCACATTTTAGTTGATTATGTCCACCTGCCTCCTATTCTGCCCCTCCTTATTTAATCCTGGCGCTCTTGCTACTCCTGGCTCTGCATTGGAAGATAGATGCGGCCCGCCTACCATCGAGTTGACCTGCATCTGTGCTTGAGGACATAGGGGGTCAGAGCGCCTGGCCTCAACATCCCCAGTTTTATTCCTTGTCCTTGTATCGGATCCCGTTACGGTTTTTAACTCGGTTTGTCCTGTCTCGTTTGGATTACCTGGTATTGGACTCTTGGACTTCGCCGCGGATTTCCTCCCTGGACTCCTTGGACTTGTTCACCCTGGCTACGCCCCTCGAGCACCAGTTCACCGTCATGCCCCCGTCTGTCAACCTCTCCTGATCCTCATCGTCTCCTCCCCGTCGTCCTCTTCCACTTACATCCGGGTTATACCATCTGCATTTGTATAAGTATTCGAACAGCTCCAGTACCTGGGTGCCAGACCTCTTGCACCCCTGCAGCTTTCAAAATGAAGCTCCTGCTGATTCTTTCCCTTTTCTGCGGACTGCACTGCTCAGGTAAGCTTTCTCTTCATGCACAATTACACAGGATTTCTGATGGGGAAACATTCACCGTGCTGAGACAAAGGAGCTCATGTCCTTTACCTTCTTGAGTTTCTGTCTTCTGAACCTAAAGTCCAAAATTCTATTCTTCATCCAAAGATACAGAACAAAAACAATCAGATATTTAAATGTTGTTGTCGTTAATTTCTGACTCTCCTCTGTCTTGCTCTCAGTATCATGTTACCATTAATTACAATATATTCTTTACTTTAATATTTATATAATTTTAACTTAATAGAAATCATCTTTTTAATGTTCTTATTTTAAGTGAAGAGAAGAAAATTAAAAAATAGCTGGGTACGTCCTCTTTCAGTGTAATACTGTGTTCTGTTTTGGTTTCTAATTTTCAAAACAGAAATTTTGCCTCTAGAATAGGTATAAGAAAAGTAAAAGAAGAAATATATAAACCCATGTATTATATAGTTTGGGAATGTCCTCTGTGAGACACCAAATGCATAGCGTGAGAAAAAAATATGTTTCCCAGTACTGAGCTTTATTTAATCTTTGGGATGGAACATATTCCAGGTTTGAGTGAATTATTTTATTCTGGTCAGGATAATCTCCGACACGATATAAACTTCAATCAAATAACTTTTTATTGCAATGCAAATTAATTTTATTAATTTTAATCTTCTTGGACAACAAATGTCTCTCAGACCCGAGATTACCCTCCATTTCCTTCTTAAAACTCTGTCAAGACTACACAAGTTATCTTTTAAAAATCAAAATTAGTGTAAATTAGGAGCCCAACTCCAGTCCTCAAATGTCCCTGTCGGGCAGGTTTTATGAGTCTTTGAATCTCCAGCACCTTTAGAACAAGACAAGGTTTCATCTTGTCCAATTAAGTAATTAAAAAAATCAAGGACCATCTGGCCCCTCAGGATAGGAGTTGTGTTCCCTTTGTTATAAATATTGCTATATAATCCCAAATGACTCATCAGGTAAATACATTTATTTAAGCACAGGCTGATTTTAATAATTCAGGATATCATGGGATCAGTCCTGTGAAATATCACTGCCTGACAGGAATCGCCAGAGCAGTGGTGATAAATTATTAATCTTAATAACGTTTACTTTCCATACTGCCTTTCATGGTAGATTTTCTCAAAGTGCAAGAGCAGAGTTGCAATTAGTTGGCAAGACTCCTGGTGAAACAGTGACCTCTCAGTTTCCTCCTGGCCTGAGATTACATCAGTCATGGTGGCACTCCTGCAATTGGCACCGATTGGTTGTGAGTCGCTGTGCAGTTAAGAAAGTGTCAAAAGATGTCTGATCTTCCTTTCTCCTGTGTGAGTGCGTAACCTTGTCTTAATACTTATTTATGCCAGGCAGTAGCTAATGTAGGAAGCTGTGTCAGCATGCGTAGGCTGCAAAGTAACAAGTAAAGGATTATTCCATGCTGAAAAGACAAGAAAAGAAACATAATGTTTCGGCTGTGGAGCCTTCTTTTCAGGCAGCGGCTAATGCTGCCTGCCAACACTCAAAGGGTTATGTCAACCACAGGCAGCTGGGTATAAAAACTGGCTATGATCAGTCACATCTCTACAATACACAGAACTACAATTTCCATAAACTCACTGGGCAACTTCCTGATGGTATCTATGTCACTGTCCCTGTGCTGCCTGGCTGAGGTGGCTTCTAGCAGGTCCCTTCCAGCACTGGCAGCTTCACAGCTG